ATCCTAGGGGCCGGGGAGATGGCTCAGTGGAATAAGTGCTTCCCTGGCAAGTGCAAGGGTCTGAGTTCAATCCTTGGTTCTGAAAAAAAAATTATACTAGCATCCTTTTTGTTTTCAAGAGATTTTTCTTTTCCTGGTCCCTAGCTGCAGTGGTGTCTTAATGATCTGAAAGTGTATCTTCACTTTCATTCAAACAGTCTTCTTGACTTTTACTGAACCTTTTAATTTTCTGTATATCTCTTTGAATGTGCTTCATGCATTCTATTTCTTTCCTGTGTTTCTCATTTAAGGTTTCCATTGTTTTTGAATTGTCCTCTATATGTTTTATCAATGTCTTCTTTAGAAATTCTTAGTCATTCTTTACTTATAGTTATCATTTTTTTTTACTGGGAGTTTTTTTCTGGTCTGACTTACCCTATACCCTTCAGCACTTGTTTCTTTACTTCATTTGCTATTATTTCAGGGATTACAGGTGTGTGACTTCCATATTCTTGTTTACTGTCTCCTAGATTTTTTCTGTGTGGGCTCAGGGCCTAAGATTACATTTTATTTCTTTATTTTGTCATTTTCTGTTTTAGAGAATACTGTTCATTTCGATTTCTGTGGCATTTTTGCGAAAGTATGATATTAGGTAATGGTATCACTACAATCAGAACATCTGAAAACAGTCTGGTCTTTGTATATCTGTTCTGTGTCAGATGTTCTTATTTTGTGTGCTCCATGTTTTTGCCATCTCTCTTGATTGAGAGTGGAATATTGGTTTCCACATGGCACTGACCTTCTTTCCATATGGGGCTCTGGTGAAGTTATTATAAACACCTCCTGATGTCATTGCCCAAGAGAAAATATATGGTTAATACAGATATGGTATCCTAGTTGTAGTAGTACAGTTAGCAATATGAATTATGGCAAGTGAAATTTAGAAATTGCTAAGATTTTTTAACTAATGGATTTCTATTTTAGACAATAGATGAAAACACTATAGATATATAACAAGCATGATTTTTTTCAGGCCAACTCCCCTTCATGTACCCGGAGCCTTCCGGGCAGACTAGTTCACCTAAGTTGCCTCCTGCCACCTCCATGCCACGCGGATCCTCCCCATAGGTTTCATGCCTTGCCTGGTCCTCACTGGCCCTCGCAGTACACAGCTCACCTGTCCCAGTCACTGGCCTCAGTTCCTTTGCCCAGACCCATGTGACCCGGTTGCCTGAGCTCCTCCATGCCACTAAAGTTGATCAGCCAGGCCTAGCCACCTATGCTCCTCTGAACTTCCAAACTCAGATCCTGAAAAATCCCTACTAGACAAAAAAATGACTGACTGATTAATTGGCTAACTAGAAGTCCCCCAAAACAAGAAATCCTGTATAATTCAATTCTCTAATACAGTTTGCAATTTTTTAAATCATAGCACATACATTTTGCATTTTGTATCTATGGCACAATCAAGAAAAAAATCATTTTTCATGCTAATAAACACATATTACAAACAGAAAAATACAGTATAAAGTTGTAAGAATGGCTGTCAGTACGTGGTCTTATGTGTCTTTCATAGGCAATAGATTGATTGTGGTGCAAACATAATGTGAAAATGCTAAGGTAGTAACCAATAGAAAAAAATACTCGTCAGACACAAGAGAGTGAGGAAGTGATATTTTAATCTATCCACAGTGAAAATCCAAATACTACTGTGAAAGAATGAACTTAAATCTACACACATTAATGGGATATTAACTCAGTAAAAATGATGCTACCAAAAACCAACTAAGGTATTGAGAGATTTCAAACATCTTGAAATTATTAGGTGATCATTAAATTTGTCAACTAATATTTCAAAAGTTTGTTCCGAGCCAACGTTACTAATAAAGGTCACACACTCAGTATTTAAAATTGCAATTCTTTTCCCTTCAAAGATCAATGATAAATACTTAAAATGCCCACGTGTACCAGGGTGGAGTTGCCACTGAATCAAATAGTCATATTTCAATTTACTATCATTGAAAGTGTTTCAATGCAACAAATTTTTGCAATCAAATAAACACCAAAAAATCAAAATGGCTGTATATAAATAAAGAAATGTAGGAATTCCTACTTTTTAAAAATATTCCTTTTTATTTTTCTATTTTTATTTATTTTTTTCTTCACATTCTGCAAGGATTTAAAGTTTAACATATCAATGCTTGTTGGAATATATCTGTTCCATGTTATGTCTAAAATGTTTGATGTTCAGACAGACAGGTTAAGCTCAACTCCTTATGTTATAGAGTAATAATATCCTTAAGCTTCTCTTCTGGAGGGTTAACAACTTAAGTTTGCAGATCCAAAAATTAGAGAAAAAGATGATCTGCAAGGACAGCCAATATTTTGGCCCTAGCCATTCAAGGTCAGTGAGGACTCAGGACATAAGAGAACCTGGACTGTATCATCCTGTAATTCAGTGATGTCCCAAGTTTTCTGATCAAGGAGATTATGGGGCCACAGAGGAAAGTGATTGATGATGTAGAGTGTGCCTTAGGAGAGTCACATGGAGAGAAAACATTCATGCAGGCTTTCACAGAGATCAAATTAGTCAAGCAATGGCTGTGACTCATTCACGTGGCTGACACTGACAAAGGATCTACAAACTGCAGTGCAGGGTTTCAGGATAAATCCTGAGGGGATTTGCCTGACCTTGTTAGATAAAAAAGTTACATTTTTTTGTTATATAGGTCTTTCTTTATCTTGATCTTAATCATCCAGCAGAAAAGTATAAAAATGAAGTATGAAAAGTAAAGCCATATTAATAGGCTGAACTATAAAAGGCCAAAGTCAACAGCTTCTGACATTGCCAGTCCTATGGATAATCCACTACTATTATGGACTATCAGACTATATAGGAATATTTTGCTGAATTCATGCACCTACAATATTTAAATGACAATGGAATACCCATCTCTGAAAAACTGAACACAAAATGGGATTACAAATGAAGGACCATTTTGTATCTGAATATATAAAATAGTTAGGATAGATATATGCCTACTTTGTCTTAATTCAATGAGTAGAAAGATTTGTACTAATAGTGTTTGGACAGCATATCATGTCTGCATCTTGTACTATGAATAACTACTATGAAGACAACAATATGCAATGTATTGATTATTGTAACTGTCCTACTAGCCTGTTTTGAAACTATCTCATTGCTATTGTTTTCTCAATAAAAATAGTAAAAAGAAGGTGCTGACAATGAGAAGGGAAACCTCTGGGCTGGCACAAGGGTCCTGAGGCTCTCCAGAGAACCTGGAGTGGCCCAAGAAAGACATGTACTGAAGGAAGCCTCCAGAATTGAGCGATTTCTATCAGTCTGAGTTTCCCATTTATCTCAGCATCATATACCTGGGGAGAACTCACATTGTGTCTGATCCAGTGCAAATATGAAGTTTGAAGACTCAAGAGAATCAGAGAGATTTCTATTAGGACAAAGTATATTTACACAATTTTTTTTTCATCTTCATATAAATTTCTGTGGGAAGGTCTAAGCAACTTTCATACAGTGAAAACAAAACTGTAAATGTTAAGAATTTAGAAGGTTGGGAATACAGGGTTACCTTGATTATAATGTAAAACCAAGCTGCTATTTTGGCCATCATGGCTTATGACAGACTCATGCTGCAATAAATATTTTACTTTGGCATCTCTAGAATTCAAGAATTATAGGAAAGCTGTTTTATGGATAATGACATGATAATTTGTGAGAACTGTTCTCTTCCATATATATA